TTTGTAAACCTTGTTTGGTTGGAGAGCTGCAAAATTTGGAGAAGTGCGAATTTTGAGGGACAGCCGTGTTCCCTTTTGCATACCGTTTTGAAAAGCGAGGATGAGGGAGGTTCGCATTAAAATGCAAACCGAATTTCCGCCCCCTCCCTAAGTATGTCCCAAGGGCAAGTGGAATTCCCAGTTCACAGCAAATATAATAGAATTGTAGAATTGGAAGGGACCATCAGGGTCATCTAGTCCAACCCCCAGCAATTCAGGAATCTTTCTCCCAACGTGGGGCTCAAACCCACAAACTTGAGATCAAGAGTCTCATGTTCGACCAACTGAGCTATCCTGGCTGCGGGATGCTAACATGATAGAGGGGAGACCCAGAAGGCCACCTTGCTTACAGTGCTCCCTGGCATTTTCTTTTCCTTTACTCCTCTGTGTAGCAACAAGAAGGCAGAAAAAGCAAGGAATGGAAATGTGTTGAAGAATATATTGTACAAAATCATTCTATCAGAAATCTCTGGATAAGTATAGACTGAACCCATTAAGTTAAGAAGTTATGTTTTCCTTCCCCGCTCCTTTTTTTCAAATAGATGAATGACTATCGTAACGCATAAAAATGAATGTTGGAGGTTTTTATTAAGTAATAAGTTGGATGTCACGCATGTGGGTGAAGGAAGTCAAATGGGCATTTGGGTATAAGGAGAGGTGATTGCAGGATTGTTGTTTAGTCGCGTCCGACTCTTCGTGACCCCCTGGACCAGAGCACGCCAGGCACTCCTGTCTTGCAGGGTTAGATGTGGGGAATTTGCAGAAATAATATATTCATGTTATGTGCCGTAGATTCCAGCGTATTAGGTGACTGGGCGTATAAGATGCCAATGGGGGGGGGTCGTCTTATACGCTTCGGCAGCAGCAGTGGGCAGCGGGCTCTGAGACTGGAGGAAGCTGCCCAGCGATGCTAAGCCGGCTTCACTGGGCGGCTTCCTCCTGGCACGGAGCGGAGCCCGCCGCCCACTGCAACCATACCCGGCGTATAAAACGACCCCCGACTTTTAACCTCTTTCCCGGGGTTAAAAAGTCGTCTTATATGCCGGAATCTATGGTACAAGGCTGAAGGTGTATGGCAATTAACATGTAGTGTGAATTAGCTGAAAATAAGAAAAATTAATAAAAAAATAATATCAAGTCCAAAAAAGAAAAAAGAAAAGAAAAAAATAATGCAGAAAAAGCAGTTGCCAAGAGGTGCTTGGCTGTGGAATTGAGCCCATGGTGCCAGAACTGGGAAGGGAAATGCCACAGAGTTGCTGCACACCTCCAAACAGCATTCCCAAGAACTTGGATTTCATAGGACAGGTGTGTGTCATTGAAGCCCCAAATATACACTCTCAGTTGAGAAACCACAGCTTAATGCTAAGCCACATGGATATTCAAGGAATTAATAGCCTCTTTGTGGCTAAAGTTCTCTGCAGGCCCAAAGTCAACAGCTAGCATGACCTCACCACAGGAAGCCTGCGGGGCAAATCAGGCCGGCCAAACGAATCCAGCAAAGGTGGTGAGATTCTGGCCCATGGGCCTAATTAAGCCCAACATGGGGCCCAATTTGACCCATGGGCCTGTTTTCCCCAACCATGCCCACGTGCCCCAAACCCCATCTTATACAGGCCTCCTCCCACTAATGCGCAGGTTACGTTCTGGGCCCCCACACTCAAGTGAAATCGTGCAAAGTGGGGGGCATCCTCTAAAAAAAAAGCTCCTAAATGCCTATTCCCCCCTGTTCTCCCGCTCTCTCTCCAATCCAGACCAGGTTGGCAAGAAGCTGAAGGAGGTGCTGGAAAACTGCAGCTGCCATGCTGCCACGCAAGCCAGCTGTTGGGTGGAGAGGCTGAGCAGCCTAAACAAAGCCCCACCGAGCCCCTTCTCTGCCCTCACTGATGTCCTCTTCAGGTTCGGGGTGTGTGTGTGTGTCTTCTCACGAGCCACAAGGACTCGCTAGCTTTCTCCCACCATTTCCTGGTATAATAATAATAATAATAATAATAATAATAATAATAATAATAATATATTTATACCCCACCCAAGTGGATGGGTTTCCCCAGCCACTCTGGGCGGCTTCCAACAGGACACTAAAATACAATAACCTATTAAACGTTAAAAGCTTCCCTAAACAGGGCTGCCTTCAGATGTTGTCTAAAAGTCTGATAGTTGTTTTCCTCTTTGACATCTTGTGGGAGGGTGTTCCACAGAGCAGGCGCCACTACCGAGAAGGCCCTCAGCCTGGTTCCCTGTAACTTGGCTTCTCGCAGTGAGGGAACCGCCAGAAGGCCCTCGGAGCTGGACCTCAGTGTCCGGGGAGAACGATGGGGGTGGAGATGCTCCTTCAGGTATACTAGACTGAGGCCGTTTAGGGCTTCCAAGGTCAGCACCAACACTTTGAATTGTGCTCTGAAACGTACTGCTTCCGTTGACTGATTTCTTTCCCGGCTTGCACGCAAACACAGTCACACACAAGTTGACTGCGCATTAATGGGGGGGACGCCTGTGCATGACGTCAGGCATGGGGCAGGGAAAAATATGCCTCCCTGGCTTCCAGGTGGAAAAATCCAAATTAGAGACAGAATTGCTAGAATCCAATACTAAAAATTTGTCAAAAATGTATAACTTGCTGTTGAAATGGAATACACAAGATGAAACGGTTAAATCAGCAATGATTAAGTGGGCACAGGATATTGGTCATAACATTATGTTTGCTGACTGGGAAAAGTTGTGGACCACCGGGATGAAATTTACGGCATGTAATGCCCTAAGAGAAAATATTATGAAAATGATTTATAGGTGGTACATGACCCCAGTCAAGCTTGCAAAAATTTATCACTTGCCTGATAATAAATGTTGGAAATGTAAAGAAAATGAAGGTACATTCTTTCACCTTTGGTGGACGTGCCCAAAGATTAAGGCGTTCTGGGAAATGACACTCGCAATTGGCAAGGGAGGACTTGCTGTCACTGCCAATCAGCTGTCCGACAGCAAGTCCTGCAGCAACCGGGTGCAAGACAGAGTTCCCTGCTGAAAACACTGATTGGCAAACTTCCTTTGCCAAGGAAGTGAAGAATGCCTGCCTGCTTTCCTCTCCCTGGTGTCTTTCTGTTGCACTGTCACTCTTTGTTTACATACAGCTGCCCTATCAATATTATTTTTAAATAAACCTGATCATGTACTGTATAAGGAACATGGAGGTTTCGACTGGGACGCAGTTAGCCCCATGTGAACAGCTGCAGTAACGGGTGCACGGATGACCCAAGGCATTAGGCCAGAGGGGGGACTACACCAACCCTGCAAAGCTGTTTCAAAACTCACCTATGGCTGTTGCACAGCTGTTATCGCAGCTCTGCGAGCCTCAGCTTAGTCACAGCGAGGAGGCGGGAGACTGCCTGGAGCCCCGCGTAATCTGCTCTGAGCTTCCCAGAGAAAGAGGGACGTGCGCGCAGTAAATAAAAGGAAAACAGAGAAAGTATCGCAGGCATTTATGCCAGAATCAGCTCTCGGCATTTCTGAAACAGGCCCCTTCGCGAGATAACTGGCAAACTGCAGATGAAATTGTCGGCAGTCAGACAAGGCCGGTAATAGCTTCTGCCTAGGAATCGTACCCAAATTTATGGGAAATCACGTAGCTGAGATATATGTACATAAGCAATAGTGCTCTGTCCAGAGCATGCAATGATTGCTTTTCTTTGCATTCCCACAAAGCTATTTAGGTAGAAACAGCAGTCCTGCAGAGCTCTTAGGCAATGAGGGAAGGGGATGGATGGTACATGGAAGGGCACAGGCCGCAAATGTGAAGCCTCTCATACAAAACTGCCTTTATACAGAGTCAGACCATCATTCCATCTCCTCAGGTGCCAGGAATCTGGGCCCCTCCCGATATTGCTCAATCCCACCAGCCCCAGGCAGCTCTCACAAGCCACTCTCGAGTTCATATACCAATAATTTAGAAACTCTCAACACTTTGTAACTAAGCTAAGTTTCCTGCTTGGCAGGGGGTTGGACTCGATGGCCCTTGTGGTCTATTCCAACTCTATGATTCTATGATTCTAAGTTTTACTGCCTGTGCAACTTTTTCTGAATGCTGCATGGAAAGGCACATGAATATGACCTTTGGAGAGTTTGTAAGTAAACCATTTTAAACTTCCCAAACGTGTGGGCTTTTTCTTCGCTGGGGGGAGAAGGAAACTTTGGAACGCACTTGAAAGGGTATATTTTAAGGGTCTAACAGCCTATATTTCCAAATTTGTTCTGCTGCATATTTTGTGACTTTAAATCTCTGCTGGGGTCCTCTCACAAAAGAGTAATTGCCCCAGCCTTGGATCTTGGCATTCAGTGTATTAACCTTTTCATATCATTTTTTTCCCTTGAAGCAGCGAAAACAATACTAAAAAATGCAATGTTTAGGGGGGAATGCTTTGCAAAAATGCGATTAGACAAAATAGTGTAAAAAAATGTGTACTGTAGGAGAAATATGCGCTAAAATGCTGGTTTTTTAATTTTTAAAAATGACTTTAAAAAGAAAAACTCCACGGAAAACCGAAATTAATGAGAAAATGAAATTGACAGAATTGCCAATCTCTACTCTATGGAGACATTACTCATCATTTAGCTTACAGAAATCTCATTTAAAAAGCGCCAGCAGTACCATTTTGCCAAAAACAAGGATGAGTTCTGTTGGATTTTCCCTTGCTTATGAATGAAAATGTGTTTCTACATGTGGATTAGCCTCAGTGGATCAAGGAATTTATCTAAAGCACCAGCTTTGGCTGAAGACATTAGGAATAATCTATAAGCCCAACACATGGGATCCTTCCTGGTCCAATGTGTGATTGTCTTTCAGAAACAACAAAGCTACTGCAGACATTTCCCTGCCCTCCCCAAAAAATAAGAGAGTGCTCTGTAAACAGGACACGGTGCTATGAGGACCCCAGTCAGGCCGGCGTTGTCGTAAACAATGGCTCACCTACCATCAGTAAAGTCCAGCGCGTACACTGGAAACCTTCGTGCGATGTCATCAAAAATTCCCTTGCCAACATTGAAGAACTCGTGGAGCTGGAGAGAGGAAGGAAATGTTATGTCAGTTCAAATGCTCATCTATTGTTGAGAGAGGAGAGGGAGGCTCGAGCCGCCTGCCACGAGACCTTTAAAACCAACGGCTTTCCTTTAAATGCTATGCAGAGGAGATGCTAAATCACAGAATCGTAGAAGGGACCCCGAGGGTCATCTAGACCAGTGTTTCCCAAACGTTTTTGGGCAACGGCACACCTGTTTACCGGAAAAAAATCTCGCGGCACACCACCATTAAAGCCCCGCCCCGTGACGTCAGCGCGCAGCGTCACGCCGGGAGGGACGCACAAAAGTGAAAGTTTTTTCCCTTCCCCTTGCCGGGGTGGGAGGAGGCAGCAGAGCGAGGGACTGAGGGACGGCGGCAGCTGAGGCGGCGGCGATAGCGGGCGGAGGAGGAGCCGTCGCCGGGAGTTGCTGCTGCTGCTGTTGCTGCTGCTGCCCGGACATGCCGGCCTCCTCCTCCTCCGCTGTCTCGCAAGCAACCCACCCTCCCCCCGCTTCCCCAGACCGTCTCCCCCCCCACCGCCGTGTCCCCTACCTGTGCTGCAGCCCCACTAGCCCCAGCGTGATCACATGGGGCACGTCCAGCTCCGTGGGCCACAGGCCGGAGGCGATACACCCGAACACGCCGCACTCCTCCCGAATCCCCAGCTCCTCGAATTCCATGGTGCCCGAGCGAACACGTGTTGTTGTCAGCGCAGCTGCTTCTGTTATTGCCGCTGCTGCCTCCTGCCGCCGCCTGGGTTTGAGGGGGGGGGCGGAGGAGGAGGAGAAGGAGGCGGCGGCCTCAGAGGCGCGAGTTCCTCTCCGCGCCCACCCCTTGCGCCCGCCTCATTTACATGCATACATTACGAAGGGGCGAAATTCCCCGCCTCGGGGCTGCTCCGCGTGGTGGAGTTGGTTTCCCCACCCCAGAGGAGCAGAGCAAGAGAGGTCGCCTTCGGGGCGGGGGGGGCTACTTTGTATCTGCCTTTGGACACAAGTTAGCTCCCGCTCGCTCTTTCTCTCTCCCCACAAGTTAACTTTGTTTCCCTCTCTCTTTCTCTCCGCGCGCTTCTGAGAGCGAGTTTTGCCCAGTGGCTCCGAGAGTGTAAACGGCTGGCTGAAGTGCTGAGGAGACCGCGAAGGGCGGAGGGAGCTGGGCTTTGCGCGCGACGGAAGGGGTTATTCCCCCCCCCTTATGGAAACGGGGTTTGAGGGAATAAGGGGTAGGGAGGAGACTTCGGTTTTTGCGCGACTGAGCAGGGGAAGGGGGCGTCGGGGGGCGCTCGCCTCAGATTGGAGAAACGCTACCAAAGGGTTGTGAGCGGGGGGGGGGGTGTTAAAAACATCCCTCCCTCCGTGGGTGGAGGAAAGGGGGCTGGGAGGCAGGATGTGGCCCCGGCGGAGAGTTTTAGGTGGCCCAACCCCTTCCCTTTCCCAATGAGGTGGAAGCATTGGCGGGTTTCTGCAACCGCGCCCCGCCCCCTTCCGCCGTCCGTGCCCCCCTCCCTTCGTACGCAGCCCCAAAAGTGCCTCCGGACTCCGAACGCGCTTCTTTTTCGGGTCGCTTCCCTCTCGCGCGCTGCTCACTTGGTTTTGTTCTCTCCTAGGCGCCCGACTCGCCCGCCTCCCTCCCACGGCACACCAGCCGGTGTCTCACGGCACACTAGTGTGCCGCGGAACACCGGTTGGGAAACACTGATCTAGACCAACCCCTCTGACATGATTTCATATCTCCTCACAGACACAGATAAGTATGTGACCTGGCGTGTAGCACTCCTTGCAACTGCCGCTAGGAAAATCAGAGCAAATTATATAGCCAAGATAGGAGATGAATTAATTTGACCCTATCTACATCAAGCTATAATCTATCTTTATCACCAAACTCTGAATATAATTGCACATTGTATTAATTAACATTATTAGTGGCCATGTGGTGATTTTAGCCTATAAATTTTACTGTTTAATGTCTGAACCTGTATAATCAGGTACTTTTATAGCTCTGTTTAGAGTAGGTAACGTCTTGATAATATAAATATTTTAAGTTTTATGTATTAATCCAGCATATTTTCTTTTAATTGTTGAATGATTCTGTGTACATTGCGGCAGCCTTTGGCTATGCGCAATAAAACTGACTGACTCTCTTGATACTACCTCTGTGCAGGGAGGAGAGGAGGCAGCTGAGATACGGGGAAGGCCTTTGTGAAGGCTCCCCCCTCTTGCCAATCAGCAGTCAGATTCTGCATATACAGCCGTACCTTGGAAGTCGAACAGAATCCGTTCGACTTCCAAAACGCTCGAAAGCCAAAGCGTGGCTTCTGATTGGCTGCAGGAAGCTCCTGCAGCCAATCGGAAGCTGCAGAAGCCCCGTCGGACATTTGGATTCCAAAGAATGTTCACAAACCAGAACACTCATTTCTGGGTTTGCGGCGTTTGGGAGCCAAAACGTCCGAATACCAAGGCGTTCGGGATCTAAGGTATGACTATATGCACTACCTCTGGAATGGAACCCCCATGTTTGACAGGACTGCAGTGTCGCACAAATAAACATGGATCTGGTAACAATATGGGAAATAATATAACTAACCAAGGTTAGCCGCAACTACCCATGCATTTAAAGAGTCACAAAATTAATTTCTTTGTGGCATGCAGGTTCCATAAAACAGTACCAAATGTCACCGAATCTGTCCGTTTCCCTTTCTTAATTTCACCATTTCCAAAACAAAAAACCATGCTTGAATTCACATCCGCACCATAGATTTAAAACACACAGCTTCTCCCCTCCCCAATAAAAAAGAATCATGGGAACTGTAGTTTTTTAAGGTTGCTGGGAATTGAGGGATAAACTACAGTCCCCAGAATTGCAACGTAAAATTTGGAGGAGTGCAGATTTTGAAGGACAGCTGTGTTTAGGTGCATGTATTGTTTGGGTAAGGGACGCGGGTGGCGCTGTGGGTAAAAGCCTCAGCGCCTAGAGCTTGCCGATTGAAAGGTCGGCGGTTCGAATCCCCGTGGTGGGGTGCGCTCCCGCTGCTCGGTCCCAGCGCCTGCCAACCTAGCAGTTCGAAAGCACCCCCGGGTGCAAGTAGATAAATAGGGACCGCTTGCTGGCGGGAAGGTAAACGGCGTTTCCGTGTGCTGCGCTGGCTCGCCAGATGCAGCTTGTCACGCTGGCCACGTGACCCGGAAGTGTCTCCGGACAGCGCTGGCCCCCGGCCTCTTGAGTGAGATGGGCGCACAACCCTAGAGTCTGTCAAGACTGGCCCATACGGGCAGAGGTACCTTTACCTTTATTGTTTGGGTAAGTGCGAATGGGGAAAATTCGCCTTTGAATGGGAACAGGATTGCATTTCTCTCCCACTCCTAGTGGTCAGAATATAGCCTTTGCCTGGGTCTATACGCGACAGCTTTGCATGTTTTCCACGTACATTTGGGAACAAAAGGGATGCAAAGTGCATCTGTCAACACCAGCTTCCAAAACCCAGCAGGGGTACCTGGAATATGCTGTGGCATTTGCTGCCAGCCCTCCGTAGCCCTCGCCTGCCCCCTCGCTGCTTGGCTCCCTGTCTGTCCCTTCCAGCCTCTCCCTGCCTCATCCCCATTACGTCTCTCCGCTTGCGGGACAACTTGTTACAGCAACAGGGATTTCTAACCTCTGCCCCTCTTCTCCCTCCAGGGAGAAAATTCATTTCTGCTCCTTTGTTTTGAGACACAATTGTCTACAGGGCTGGTGGCAGGGAGAGGGTGGGTTTAAAGTGCAGAATGATTTGAGCAGAGTTTAAAAGGCCTGTTTTTAAGATTCTTTCTTTCTTTCTTTTTAAGTAGCTCCCAATGGAAGAGGTCAAAGGAAAGAGCACAACAGCTTCTAGCAAACTTGTCCCGCCGTGACATGCGAGAAGTTGCTGGCGTTACAGGGCAGAAAAGGGAGAAGGAAAAGGATTGTGACCAATTCAGCAAGGGGGCGGTTATACTTTTTTCGACCCACTGTGCATAATTCTATGCACCTCTATCATGCCCACCTCTGTGCTTAACTTGCTTTTCACTCAGCAGAGAAGTCCTGAACTTTTTTTGGTGGGACTTCTCTTCATACAATGGACATATGGGACTTTGACGGCTGGATGAGCTCTGTCGACCCAGGATGAGAGACCTGGACCTTGACTCTGACGGGATGCCGAACTCCCTGTCAGGATTGACGCAACTTTGGCCTCCTCGGACGAGCGTCTGGTATTCATCTCAAGATGATTTGGCTTTGTAAGGTCCACCTGAAAGAGTGGACCTTTGCCACACGTACCTTGAGGGGCTTGTGGTTGTGTACTATGTGCCCGTCGGCCATTGCCGATGGCCTCTGGTTCACGACGGTCAGCAGATGACGTTGGTGAACCAAAGCCTCCTTGAACTCTTCCTCCGTTTTCGTTTCTAGAAGCTTCTGCCGGAAGGTTATATCTGAGAACATTGTGGCAAATGTCCGGCCCACTTCGGTTGCAGTTTTGGTACTTTTCTGAGGGAGGAAAAACAGGACACATCCGTGAGTGGTTTGGGTTACCTACACCACAGCTTGAGTTTTATGTTATACCTTAGCTCAGACAGGTTAAACTGATCAACCGCGATCGACAGGTAGATCCCTGGGTGATCCTGGTCAATTGTGGCATCCTTATCGATCGCTGGATTGAAAAAAACTGGGAAATGAATGTCTTTACCCCCGCCCCCCTCGCTCTGCCCCTCCGCCTCGTCCAGTGGGGGTCGTTTGGCGCTTTCTGTTGGCAATTGGGAATACAATGATTGTTTCTTGCGCTGTGTGTGTTTGTTAGCGGCGTACTTTAAGGTGAGCGATGAAGGTCATTCCCCCCCTTTAAAAAAAGCTCAACAACTCTTGCTCATGTTTTGTGATATAACTAGTGGATACAATTATCTTTCTTTGTGGGATTTTGATGTTCAGATCCCAAGTTGCTTGCAACTTTTATTTATATATAAAAATACCATACATATTCTTATATTCTATTATAATAGCATATCAAAGGATAAGGGGAAAGGCACAGGATTTATTTTTTAAAAAAATACCGTATTTTTCGCCCTATAGGACGCACCGTCCCATAAGGCGCACCTAGTTTTTTTGGGGGGAAATAAAGGGGAAAAAATTATTTTCCCCCCAGGTGCGGGGCTGGGGCGGGGGAAGCCCGAGCTTCCCCCGACCCCAGCCCCCAAACAGGCAGCTCTCTGCAAGCCGTGGGAGCCCAGCGCTGGCTCCCGCTGCTTGGGGAGAGGTCCGCGAAGCATGGACACGCTGAGCTCAGCGCGCGCAGGCTTCAGCGTGCGGGCAACTTTCCGCAAGCAGCGGGAGCCCAGCGCCGGGCTCCCACTGCTTGCGGAGAGGTGTGCGAAGCCTGGAGAGCGAGAGGAGTCCCTCTCGCTCTCCAGGCTTCAGTGAAAGCCTGCATTCGCCCCATAGGATGCACACACATTTCCCCTTCATTTTTGGAGGGGGAAAAGTGTGTCCTATAGGGCGAAAAATACGGTAAATAAAATAAAATGGAGGAGGAGCTCAACCCTACCATTTTCGGAGGAGCAAGGACCAGAATGACGAATCGCACTTCGCAGGAGTTCTCCCCCCAGTTCTGAGGCCTTTCGAGGCGGCTGATGCAAACATGGCGACGCTGAAGGGATTTTATAGTGCAAACTGTCAAACAAGAGAAGAATATTATCAGTAGTCAAAGCAATGCACAGGGCAGCAGACCGTTGCCTTCAAAGAAGGAAATCAGGTTCCTAAGGAAGGGCAGTAGGACTCTGCTATAACAGACAACTGATGAAGGAACACATATGGACTAGTAACTTTGAGGCACAAAAGATGTGCAGATGTCTATGGCAATGGCCCTCCAGATGCAGCTGAACTGCAACTCCCATCATCCCTGGCCATGCTTGCTAGGGATGCTGGGAGTTGTAGTTCAGCAACATCTGACAGGCCCAAGGTTCCCCACCTTTTAAAGTTGTTTTTTTTTTTTTTTTAAGATTTCTGCAAGGTTTTAAATGACAGATTTTGGCATTTGAGCGAAAGAATGCTGGGGTAGCAATGATACATTAAGTGCCAGGTGCCCATCTATCCAATTAACAAGCAAGCGAACAAAAATATATGCCTGTTCTATCCGTGACATTCGAAAGGACATCAAAGTGCAAGTAGATAGGTAGGTACCACTCCGGCGGGAAGGTAAACGGCGTTTCCGTGCGCTGCTTTGGTTCGCCAGAAGTGGCTTAGTCCAATAAAGCGAGATGAGTGCCGCAACCCCAGAATCGTCCGCGACTGGAATTAACTGTCAGGGGTCCTTTACCTTTTTTTTACATTGAAGCCAAAGAAAAGACTGTGCTCTAACTGAGTTGGTAACTAACTATTGTTGTTTTCTGCTAGCAAAAATGTGAGTGTTTAACCTTAGATCAAAGGTATCTCAGAGGGATGGATGAAGGGACCAATCACTCGAGCTGGGTGGGCCACCAAATGGGCCATCTCTTTAATGCAGAGGTGAGAAGCCTCAGGCCAAGGGAAAAAATGCAGCCCCTTAGATCTCTCTCCCTGGCCTTGCTACAGGGAGCCAGGCAGAGGGCCTTCTCGGTGGTGGCACCCGCCCTGTGGAACGCCCTCCCATCAGATGGCAAAGAGATAAACAACTACCTGACATTTACAAGACATCTGAAGGCAGCCCTGTTCAGGGAAGTTTTTAATGTGTGACATTTTGATGTATTTTTAATCCTTGTTGGAAGCCGCCCAGAGTGGCTGGGGAAACCCAGCCAGATGGGCGGGGTACAAATAATAAATTATTATTATTATTATTATTGCCTCCACCCCAGCCACTTGTGTTATCCCCAAGCCAAACCTCTCATTAGCCTTCCTTCTCACCTTCCTCAAGGAAACTGGACTCAACTGTCTGGGGCCCTTTACCTTTTTTATCCATGACATTAAACTGAGCAACTAAGGCGTAAGACCATTTCGTGGATCCCCCCTTCCCTTCTTCACAAGGTCCAGAGTAATAATAGTAGTAGTAGTAGTAGTAATAGTAAAAGTTTTATTACTTATACACCACCCATCTTCAAAAGCATCTTAAAAAGCAGAGACATCACCTTGCCAACAAAGGTCCGTATAGTTAAAGCTCTGGTTTTCCCAGTAGTGATGTATGGAAGTGAGAGCTGGACCATAAAGAAGGCTGATCGCCGAAGAATTGATGCTTTTGAATTATGGTGCTGGAGGAGACTCTGGAGAGTCCCATGGACTGCAAGAAGATCAAACCGATCCATTCTGAAGGAAATCAGCCCTGAGTGCTCACTGGAAGGACAGATCCTGAAGCTGAGGCTCCAAGACTTTGGCCACCTCATGAGAAGAGAAGACTCCCTGGAAAAGACCCTGATGTTGGGAAAGATGGAGGGCACAAGGAGAAGGGGATGACAGAGGACGAGATGGTGGGACAGTGTTCTGGAAGCTACCAGCATGAGTTTGACCAAACTGCGGGAGGCAGTGGAAGACAGGAGAGCCTGGCGTGCTCTGGTCCATGGGGTCACGAAGAGTCGGACACAACTAAATGACTAAACAACAACAACAACACCCCACCCATCTGGTTGGGCTTCCCCAGCCACTCTGGGCAGATACAACATCTCTCAAGAGCCATCTCCCCTCGCCTACCTCCCATCCTCAGTCTGAAAACACATGCATCCTTTCCCCAAATGTGAGGCATTAGCCAGCCAATCAAGAATGGCCGATGATTAAAGGAGTTGGGTGAGGCCCCACCAGGATCTGGACCAAAACTCGCGCTTCCTTTTCCCCGCACACATTTTTCTTTATCAACACCTCCATAAAGATCCTGAGTCGAATTGCTCAGAGTGAGATTCTCTGGGTCTCAGACGGAGTCTGCCAGAGCTGAATTAATTCCTTCCACCCAGGTGCCATTGGTTAGCATGTAAGTGAATCCATATGAGAGTTTCCGAATGCTGAAGGAGGCCCCTTTCTGATCGACACCTTGATAGTTAAGTCATGCAAATGAAAGCCGCCCGCGAACCGTAACAAAGGCAAGCTCATTTCCATTATGCTGCTGAGGACGGTTAGAGAGTTTCTCAGGCATGCAACATATTCCGTTTCTCTCGCACGGCCTGTCTCTGCTGCCTTCTTTCTTTCTGACCCAACTTTCTAAATGACCCGGCCTCCCAAGAGAAATGCCAAACCTCTCCTAGTCTGGATATCTCCTCGCCAACAAAAATACCCTCAGAGGGGGCTTCCCAGTGTCCGGGCAGAACGGCTAACAGTTTGAGGTTGAATTCTGACAAGACAGAAGTACTGTTTTTGGAGGACAGGAGGTGGGTGGGTGTGGAGGACTCCCCGGTCCTGAATGGGGTAACTGTGACTCTGAAGGACCAGGTGCGCTGCCTGGGAGTCATTCTGGACTCACAGCTGTCCATGGAGGCGCAGGTCAATTCTGTGTCCAGGGCAGCTGTTTATCAGCTCCATCTGGTCCAGTATACCTGAAGGAGCGTCTCCACCTCCATCGTTCTGCCCGGACACTGAGGTCCAGCGCCGAGGGCCTTCTGGCGGTTCCCTCGCTGTGAGAAGCCAAGTTACAGGGAACCAGACAGAGGGCCTTCTCGGTAGTGGCACCTGCCCTGTGGAACGCCCTCCCACCAGATGTCAAAGAGAAAAATAACTACCAAACTTTTAGAAGACTTCTGAAGGCAGCCCTGTTTAGGGACGCTTTTAATGTTTAATAGGTTATTGCATTTTAGTGTTTTGTTGGAAGCCGCCCAAAGTGGCTTGGGAAACCCAGCCAGATGGGCGGGGTATAAATAATAACTTATTATTATTATTATTATTATTATTATTATTATTATTATAACAAGGTTAGACTGCGCCTCTTTCTTGCAGGGAGAAAGGTGCAAGGCTGTCTCCTCCAATGCTTGACGTGGGATCACATTCATCCAGTGCTTTACCAACTGCACCGGCTCCCGGTGGAGTACAGGGTCAGGTTTAAGGTGCTGGTTTTGACCTTTAAAGCCCTACGCGGCCTAGGACCCTCGTACCTACAGGACCGCCTCTCCTGGTATGCCCTGCGGAGGACCTTAAGGTCCACAAATGACAACATTTTGGAGGTCCCAAGTCGCAAGGTGGTTAGACTGGTCTCAACTAGGGCCAGGGCCTTTTCAGTACTGGCTCCGACTTGGTGGAACGCTCTGTCACAAGAGACTAGGGCCCTGTGGGACTTGACATCTTTCCACAGGGCCTGCAAGACGGAGCTGTTCCGCCTGGCCTTTGGTTTGGACTCAGTCTGACCCTTATGTTTCCCTCCCCTTATGGTTTTGCTCTATGGACTATTATTAAAATGAGGCTGCATTTTAAATTGTATTTTAACCTGTATTTTAATAAATTGGTCCCCCCCCCTTACGCTTTTATTGTAATTTTACTGGTGTTAGCCACCCTGAGCCCAGCTCTGGTAGGGGAGGGTGGGGTATAAACAAAAAATTATTATTATTATTTAATTATTCTTGATGAAACCAGACGTTCTGGGACTATGAGGATCATTTATTGGTTAGGTTTATAACTGAATCACAAAAATCGGAGACGTGATTTCCAACAATGAAAAGCACCCAAAAACTTCAACTTCAGGAAGAGAGAGTTCTCCCAGTCTCAGGAGTCTTTCTTTCAGGTTTCCATGAGGCATCTGAGTGGTCAATGTGAGAATAGGAATCTGGACCAGATTAATAATAATAATAATAATAATAATAATAATAATATATTTATACCCCGCCCATCTGGCTGGGTCTCCCCAGCCACTCTGGGTGGCTCCCAACCAAATATTAAAAACACAATACAACATTAAACATGAATAACTTCCCTAAACAGGGCTGCCTTTAGATATGTCCTTGGCCTGATCCAGTAGGCTTCTCCTATGTTCTTAACTGGTGCACAATGTTACCATCAACCTATTGCCTATGATGGGATAAGCAGAGAGGGAATCTGCCTATGTTTCTCCCAGTTTCTCATTTTTCCAACTTTAAGTCCAGTTTTCCACATCAGTTTGCGATCTTTTTTTAAAAGAGAGAAAATTCACCAGCATGTGAATTTCTCCTGGGTTTTTTTTTTTGTATGGAACTTGCCTTAACGCAGTGCATTTTCATGCACACTATTTGGCTGGAGAAGCGCACTGCAAAATTCAGCAATGCGCAATTTTCGAAGGATTGCTGTGTTTCGGGTTCATTATTTCAGAAAGTACAGATTAGGTGGGTTCGCCCTTACAAGTCAATGGAATAGTATTTCTCTCCCATTCCTGTGATAAGATCAAACCACTCTGGCCCTAGTTGACCTGCATAGGTCACCTGTTCATTTCTGAGCTCAATTAAAGTTGCTGGTTTTACCATGAAGGCCTTCCTTCTCCCGTTGCACATTCATCCTTGCAATTTCCGCTCAACACCTGAGATCTTGCTCTGCGTTCCCTGGTTGGCTGAAGTGCATTGACAAATTGGTTCCCCACAATAATGCAAAGCATTCTCTGTACCTTCCTGCAGAAACAGCCCATTTGTCTATAACGATTTGTCATCAGAGCAAGATCACACATGCAAAAATACAATTTATATGCCAGCGAAAGAAAGAGCAAGAACTGGGATTGGCTACAGCTCCACGCTAGGTGACAAATAAGTACTACATAAAATGGC